TATCACTCCACGTGATTTTGTCACTATAGACAAAGAAGGAAAAAAACCGGTGTTAAACTGCCAATAAAGTATAGGTTAGAGTGCATATTGGGTGTTCTTCGTAAATAAGAAAGCTAAAAAGGAACGGAGCTTGCGAAGCGACTGTAGCTTTCTTATTTACGAAGAACATCCAATATATGCACTCTAACCGTATTAGCGCTCCGCCCACTTGCGTTTTATAATATAAAACGTCCAGTTTATATAAAATATGTTCTATTAAGATTTGAAAACTGGACATTTGAAAAATCCTCGTCGGTGATTGGCTTAAAAAAATTGGCGAGCACTAACACTGGTTATACCGCCCTCACACATACCTCGCGACCTTACTGCGTCCTTACTGCGACCTTGCTACGACCCAGGACGCAGCACAGTCGCCATGGACGCAGCAGGGACGCAGCGAGGAACCCAAGGACGCACAAGGTCGCAGACCGTCGGCGACTATTTTGAACATGCACAAAACAGTCGCAGAAACTCTGCGTTCTTGCTGAGTAGTGATTAGGTCGCCGTGGGATCGCAGTGGAGTCGCCATAGTCGCAGCAGCATCGTAGTAAGGACGCATTAAGAACGCAATAGACGTAGTACACTCGTACTAAGGACGCCGTAAGGTCAGACTCAGAATGAAATTTACTGGTAAAAAGTATTGTATTTATAGACGTAGCAAGAACATAGTAGGGTCGTCGTACAGTCGCCGGACAAACGCAATAGTCGTCGTAGAGTCGCCGTAAGGACGCAGAGAACAAAGCACAGTCGCAGCTGGGTCGCCGATGATCGCCGTGGGGTCGCCTTGGGGACGCAATACAGTCGCAGTGGAAACGCCATGGACGTAGAAGGGTCGTATTGAGGACATAGAGAAAACGTACTGAACACAAGACTGCAGAGCCCCGGACCGTCTGCGAGAGAAATTTGAAAGAAAACCAACGATTTTCGAAAGAAAAATGCTATTTTACTAGTTTTCAGGTCGCAGTAAGGTCGTGGTTTATGTGTGAGGGCACCTTAAGGGACTACTTGTATATGCGGCTTTTATGTTTTCACCCTTGATTATATAGTTTACAAAGCCCTTTAAAGCAACAATAAAAAGCATTTTTATTTATTTTTTCAGTTCTTATAACGTTTTTTTTTCATACAATACCGAAATAATATCTCACATACACTAACGCCACATATTTGATCCATATCAGTTAATAAATATTTTGACAAAACGGCGCCAATCCGTAAGCAGCGTAATGACGTCATCGTAAGTAAACAACTCATTCATAAACACGCTGACGTTATTTCATAATACAAGAATGATAAATGGGGCACTGATGTAAACACAATACGGCGTAAGTTTTTATTGTTGAAAACTTGATAAAATAACGTTTTTTCCTCTCATTATTTATTTTGTTTAATAATTTCTATATCTTTGCAACAGTAGGGTGCGAAAATCGAACAGCGTTATACGAAAATCGGCACCGGAAGTTATTTCCGCTTGAAAAAATAACATTAGTGATCTTCCTTATTTTCATTGTGATAGAATCGAAATAACATCGGCCCGAGAGGTGTATATCGGTTTTGTCGTTTTGATGCGAAAAAATTAACCACTCGGGCCTACGGCCTTCGTGGTCAATTCCTACGCATCAAAACTCCAAACCGGTGTTAAATAGCCGATATACACCTCTCAGGCCGATGTTATTTCTTAAACATTTAGTTTCATAAATATAAATTAATGTTATTTCGATTCTAACACGATAAAATATGGAAAATCCTTATTGTTATTTTTCAAGCGGAAATAACTTCCGGTGCCGATTTTCGTATAACGCTGTTCGATTTTCGCACCCTACTGTTGCGAAGATATAGAAATTATTAAACAAAAGAAATAATAAGAAAAAAAAAGCGTTATTTTATCAAGTTTTCAACAATAAAAACTTACGTCGTATTGTGTTTACATCAGTGCCCCATTTATCATTCTTGTATGTATGAAATAACGTCAGCTTGTTTATGAATGCACGAGTTGTTTACATTGCGCTGCTTACGGATTGGCGCCGTTTTGTCAAAATATTTATTGACTGATGTGGCGTTAGTGTATGTGAGATATTATTTCTGTATTGTATGAAAAGAAAACATTATACGAACTGAAAATAAAAATAAAAATGCTTTTTATTGTTGCTTTAAAAGGCTTTGTAAACTATACAATCGAGGGTGAAAAAATAACAGCGCATATACAAGTAGTCCATAACCGGTGTTTATTGGCAGTTTAACACCAGTTTTTTTCCTTCTTTGTCTATAGTGACAAAATCACGTGAGGGTTAGAATTAATAATAACATGTTGATATATTGGTTGTTTTTAAATAATTATTACTTTAGTATATAAGGTTACATTTCATTGGTATAATTGGCAATGCACGGAAACAAATTTTGTGTCTCAAAATTAACTCTTTAAGGGTATGACTGGTGACATGTCCGGGATCCGTACTCGACAGCGAAAGCTGCATTTTGTGCCCTTACGGGCCGATGGACCCTCATTAAGCATAGACTATATGTAGATAGATCGCATCATTGGTAACAACAGAAACTTTGATCTGAGGTGTATTGTTTTTTTATGAATGGTTTTAAAGCAATTCAGCAATAAAGTGTATTGATCTCCCAATAAATCAATTAAGAATAGCTTTTTATATATCACCAATGTCAAGTAGCTTTTATATCTTTGACTCCCATAGTGAATTTCCTCATACCTCCCTAAAATTCAGGTAACAGTCTTCTATCAGTATTGAAAGAAACCATTTTTTTAATTTGACATGAAAAAATGCATGTTATATTACTATATTAAAATATTAGTCCCTTTTGTTACTATTTGTATATTTGTTACAATTATAATGATAAACAAGAGGGCCATGATGGCCCTGAGGTCGCTCACCTGTATATAGGCCTCCCCCCCCCCCCGCCCCTGGCAGGGCCAATTTTAGTCCAAGGGCTTTTATTTGAACTAACTTGGTAGACACCCATAAGAAGATGTTCGATGTTAAATATCTAAGCTCTGAGCTCATAGGGTTTTTTCAAAGAAGATTTTTTAAGTTTTTACTATACACATATAGTTAAAAACAATGACAACCCTAGGGCGGGGCCAGTTTTGACCCCAGGGCTTTTATTTGAACAAACTTTGTAGACACTTACTAGTAGATGTTTCATGCTTAATATCTAAACTCTAGCTATTTGGGTTTTTCCACAGAAGAGTTTTAAGTTTTTGCTATACACATTTAAGGAAAATCAATGACCCCCGGGGCGGGGCCAATTTTGACCCCAGGGCTTTTATTTGAACAAACTTTGTAGACACTCACTAGAAGATGTTTCATGCTTAATATCTAAACTGTAGCTATTTGAGTTCTTTAAAAGAAGATTTTTTAAGTTTTTGCTTTACACATATAAGGAAAATCAATGACCCCCAGGGCAGGGCCAATTTTGACCCCGGGGCTTTTATTTGAACAAACTTGGTAGACACTCATTAGAAGATGTTTCATGCTAAATATCTTAGCTCTAGCTCTTTGGGTTCTTTAAAAGAAGATTTTTTAAGTTTTTACTATATGCATATAGGGAAAATCAATGACCCCTGGGGCGTGGCCAATTTTGACCCCGGGCTTTTATTTGAACAAACTTGGTAGACACTCATTAGAAGATGTTTCATGCTAAATATCTTAGCTCTAGCTCTTTGGGTTCTTTAAAAGAAGATTTTTTAAGTTTTTACTATATGCATATAGGGAAAATCAATGACCCCCTGAGGCGGGGCCAATTTTGACCCCAGGGCTTTTATTTGAACAAACTTGGTAGACACTCACTAGAAGATGTTTCATGCCAAATATCTAAGCTCTAGCTCTTAGGGTTTTTTTAAAGAAGATATTTAAAGTTTTTTCTTTCGGTTGCCATGGCAACCAGAGTTCTGCATGGAATTAAATTCTTTGATCAACTTTTAAAGGTGACCACCAAAGAAACATTCCTGTGAAGTTTCGATGAAATTGGCTCAGTGGTTTATGAGGAGATGTCATTTAAAGTAAAAGTTTACGGACGGACGGACGCCAGACGAAAAGCGATCACAAAAGCTCACCCTGTCACTTTGTGACAGGTGAGCTAAAAACGGACTTTGATATTTTTATCATCTTATGTTACTGACTACAGTAGTGACACAAACAGAACACAGTACAGTCATGTCACATAACATTTACAAGTCTTGTAAGTCTTGTTTAAATTGTATTCAATGGAATTACATTCCTTACCAGGTAGGCATCAGTGAAAGCATTTTTTCAAATAATGTATCTGGCCCCTTTTTAATTATGGACAGTACATAAGATAAGTATAATTGTGCAAAAAATGGTTTACAAAAAATTTGGAAAAAATCTACAATAGTACTTTATCTGAATATAACATGACCTGTGCGTAGGAATAATTTGGTAAGGTAACTGTAATGAGCGCATTTTTTGCGCGGAGCTTCTCAATTGCTGCATTGCAGCAACTTACCTGTGCAATCACTTGATTGAATAATTATCGGATAGCGCTATTCATGTACTGATTTTAATCAAGCACTACCCGATTTTTAAATTATAACGAGGAAATTTACAAAGTTTTATCCGTTTACGCTTGAAAATATGGTTTAAGTTTTAAGTGGGTATATTAATCGATGTTATTTAACATAAAATAAAGATGGTATCGGCCGGGATTATCAGATTTAGTTCGCTATTCGTTATTAGCGAGTTTGTTATAAGTGTAGTTGACTGTATGTATATAACTTTGTAGAAGGCCACCTATCAATTCTTTTTGCTCAAAACCCATCCAGTGGTTTAGGAGATGTTTAAAGAAACTGTAGGTAACGACAGACAATTGACACACTGCCATTTCAAAAGCTCACCTTCGAGCGCTTTGTACTATGGGGAGCTATAACAAGAGCACACTTGACTAATCAAATATTGGACGAAGTGAAGAAACCCAAACTAATATAAAAAATTAGTTATAATATCAACATATTTTTGAATCAATAAAATATCACTTTTTGAAACTCAAATGTCCAATTTTTTTCAAAATACATAACAGGCATGTGACAATATAATTGAAACTAAACAGAAAATATCGACAAAAATATCTATGTTACAATAGAACAAGAGGGCCATGATGGCCCTGAGGTCGCTCACCTGTATATAGCCCCCCCCCCCAGGGCCAATTTTTACCCAAGGGCTTTTATTTGTTTATTTGAACAGACTTGGTAGACACCCATAAGAAGATGTTTCATGCTAAACATCTAAGTTCTAGCTCATTGGGTTTTTTAAAAGAAGATTTTTTAAGTTTCTACTATACACATATAGTTAAAAACAATGACACCCCTGGGGCAGGGCCAGTTTTGACCCCCGGGCTTTTATTTGAACAAACTTGGTAGACACTCACTAGAAGATGTTTCATGCCAAATATCTAAGCTCTAGCTCTTAGGGTTGTTTAAAAGAAGATATTTAAAGATTTTTCTTTCGGTTGCCATGGCAACCAGAGTTCTGCATGGAATTAAATTCTTTGAACAATTTTTAAAGGTGACCACCAAATGAACATTCCTGTGAAGTTTGGATGAAATTGGCTCAGTGGTTTATGAGGAGATGTCATTTAAAGCAAAAGTTTACGGACGGACGGACAGACGACGGATGGACGCCGGACGAAAAGCGATAACAAAAGCTCACCCTGTCACTTTGTGACAGGTGAGCTAAAAATAACAATCTGAAATAAATCCCTATAGCAACAAAGATGGTAAGAGTCAAAAGTAACATTTTTAAAGGAAGGTACAAAGACAAGCTTATTTTTGAAAATGATACAATAATTATGAACCTTGTCATACACGATGTGAATGGAAACAGGAAACAATTGTCTTATTCCAAAGTAGATATCATCAGTATCAAAGAGAAACAAGATTGCATTTGTGACAAATGCTATGCCACCGCATTTATACAATACTAAATAGTAGTGTAGGAACAGAATATTTTTTTGTTTGTTTCTATACAATTGAACTTTGTCATAATGCAGTTGAGTCTAGTGAATTTGCTGGTCAAGGTCATATGAAAGACAAGGTACAGATATGTCTAATGTTCAGATACAAAGGCCATAGTGCAATAATTGATTCAAAATAAAAGTATTTGTACTTGACAAAAATTTAGGTATTTTCTGTATTGCATAGTTACAATTTTTATTGTTTGTTTTTTCAATTAAGCATTAGATCTACCTATTTCTGCAAACATAAAAAACATTTACGATTTAAAATCATCATTATATATATAATATGTTGTGAATCTTAATGCTCAAACCATTTCATAAATACCCAGCAAATTGCTAGAGGTCATGACCTCAATCATTTCATAAAAATCTGTAAAAAGCAAACATTTCTTTTGCTAGAGGTCATAACTTTTACATTAACTCCCAGCTATTGAATCCTTTTCAATAAAAATTGCATAACATGTACACACGTATAAAAGACATTCCAATATGAGTTGTTTCCTTTCATTATTCAACTAAGATTTGAAGAAAACCAATAATATCTTCGGGCAGGGCCAATTTTGACCACAAAGCTATAATATTGCAACAAGTCATGTCACATCAAAGTGCTCACCTGAGGACAGACTGTTATTCGAGTGAAAGTAATGAAATACAAGAATGTGAATGATGTTGGTCACTAGAACATATTTCATACAAAATATATTTTCAATTATACATTTCCTAATTTCATAGCTGTGCATCAAAAACAAAAAAGTAGGTCACTAGGTCAATATCTTGGTCATTTGATAACAAATTTCAGTTCTAAACCTAAAATTGTGAACATGGTCACGATGTCATCGCTGTATGTAAAAGTAAAGGCGGTCACTTTGTCACTTTATCATAATTTTGGTAAGCTAATATCAAAGTTCAATTTTACATCTAAAACAGTGCACATGACATGGTCCAAATTTCGTAGCTGTACATCAAAGGTCACTTTTCCCTTGGGCAGGGAAAAATTTTATCCCAAGAGTTTAATTCAAGAAATCTTGATACAGAAAAGTTGAAAACATTTGTTTTAGTTTCTGTCCTTACTATACATGTATGTACATTTGTACATAATGAAAATCAATGACCCCTGGGGCAGGGCCAATTCTGTACCAAGGGCTATAATTTGACAATCTTGATAGAGGTCCACTACACAATGTTTCATGCAAAATATCTAACCTCTAGCCTTTTTCCATTAAGCCAATAGACAATGCCTTGTGCTAAATATGTAAGCTCAAGGTCTTGTGGGTCTTTACAAAAAGATTTTTTTAAATTGTTCTTATAATTTCTTTTGGTTGCCATGGCAACCAGATTCCTGTATGAAATCAAATTCTTTGAACAACCTTAGGACCCCTTTACCCGTGAAACAATCCTGCCAAGTTTGGTTCAATTTGGAGAAGATTTTAAGTTCACTATATAATCTTTAGAAAACACACGCACAAACGCACACACACATCCACACACACGGGTGAATTGCTATATGCTAACATCTGTGCTCAGGTAGGCTAAAATGTTGCATTTTATTTATCTGTGCTCAGATAGGCTAAAATGTTGCATTTTATTTATCTGGTTATATATTTAAATATTACATATTTCAATATATCATATAACTGTTGTTATATCTTTCAATGGGTAAATTTTTGTCTGTTGCCTTATTGTGTTAATTAAGTGTGAGCAAATTTCTGTCGTTTACTTGTGTCTTCCCCTTCAAGATATGGACTGTGTTCACGAGCTTTATGGTATAATTTAAGAAGATCCAAGGCCTCTGATGTTTGTTGTCGGTCATCAATGTGTCTCTGGCATGCCTCCTGCACAGATTTGGCATATATTTCTGTCTCACCTAGCAACTGGGCAAGATTAGATGTACTCATATTAGACATTTCCTGTAAAAGTAACATCCTCATGATAACAACAACACAAGAGCATCTTATATTATAACCTTTACAATTCTTTTTTCATTAATATTATTCTTCAACTATCACAATAGCTTTAATAACAATAATGTAGAGAGCAAATTGCACAATTATAACAAAATGCTATTTTGGTCATTTAAAGGTCAAGGTCACATCTAAATCATTTAATATGTCCATTTAGTCACAAGTGTTCTTTGTCCATGTATGAATTAAATTTGTACATAAATAACACTAGCAGCCAAAGGTCAACATGTCTTGCCCTTGACCTAGTCAAACAGTTCTTGCCTGCGACATTGTGTCTCATGATGTAGAAGACTTGTTCAAAGGGTTATTTTGTCCAAGTATGCAGACAAGTCATTAATTAATTACAAAGTTACAGCATATTATAGTTAAAATTAGTGAAAATTTAATAATTTGACCTTTAAGGTCTAGGTCATACATGAGTCAAAGTCAATTTGAGTTTAATATACATGAGGGATGTTGTATCTAAATATGACGTAAATCATTGATAAACAAGGGGGCAATGGGCCCAACTGCCCTCACCTGAGGACAGATTGTTATTTGTGTAAAAGCAGTGAAAACTAGTGTTTATTACAATTATTTGAAGGATGTTGGTCACTCGACAATACTTCATGCAAAAAATCTTTTAAAATTCATACTTTCTTATAAATAGTCCTAATTTCATAGCTGTACATCAAAAACAAGAAAGTAGGTCAATAGGTCAATATTTAAGTCATCTGATATCAGATTTCATTTCTACATCTGAAACTGTGCACATGGTCAAAATGTCAAAGCTATATGTAAACAAGAGCACCATGATGGTCCTTATATTGCTCACCTGATTATGAATGCTTAATCCCATTTTATTTGAGCTGTGTGACTTACTTTTTGACTCCAAGTCACTCATATTTAAAACTGAACTACAAATCATCAAAACGACCTATCTAACCAATTTCCGGGATGGTTGGATCAAAACAGTAGCATCTAGAGTGTTAATAAGATTTTTCCATATTTGGGCTGTGTGAGCTAGTTTATTGAACCCAACTGGAAAGTGGCCCATATTCAAACTTAATCTAGAAATCATCTTAACAAGTAGCCCTTAGGGCGTTTACAAGGTTTTTGTGTCGCCTTGAAAAGGTGACATATAGGGGTTACTTTTGTCGGTGGCGTCTGTGTCGGCGGCGTCGTTGTCCCCTAAAGCTTGTCCGGAGCATAACTCAGTCACTATAAGTCTGATTGACTTCAAACTTGGTATGCATGCTTCTTTCAATAACCCAAAGTGCAGTGCACAAGGACCGGTACTCTGCAGTTCTTATTTTTTGAGTTATTGCCCTTTGTTAATTTTTATACTTTAATTTTGTCCGGGCCATTTCTCTCCAACTAAAAAAGCTATGGACTTGAAACTTCATAGGATGATAGATTTCATTAAGAAGAAGTGCAGTGCACAAGAACCGGTACTCAGCACTTCCTAATTTTTGATTTATTGCCCTTTGTTAATTTTCATACTTTATTTTTGTCCGGGCCATTTCTCCTAATGTATAAAAGCCATGGACTTTAAACTTCATAGGATGATAGGTCTCATTAAGAAGAAGTGCAGTGCACAAGAACAGGTACTCTGCATTTGTTATTTTTTGAGTTATTGGCCTTTGTTTATTTTCATACTTTAATTTTGTCCGGGCCATTTCTCCTTAAGTATAAAAGCTATGGACTTGAAACTTCATAGGATGATAGATCTCATTAAGAAGAAGTGCAGTACACAAGAATCGGTACTCTGCATTTCTTAATTTTTGAGTTATGGCCCTTTGTTAATTTTCATACTTAATTTTTGTCCAGGCCATTTCTCCGAAAGTATAAAAGTTATGGACTTGAAACTTCACAGGATGATAGATCTCATTAAGAAAAGGTGCAGTGCATAAGAACTGATATTCTGCATTTCTTATTTTTTGAGTTATTGCCCTTTGTTGATTTTCATACTTTATTTTTGTCCTGGTCATTTCTCCTCAAGTATGAAAGCTATGGACTTGAAACATCATAGAATGATAGATCTTATTGATAAGAAGTGCAGTGCACAGAAACTGCTGCTCTGCACTTATTATTTTTTTAGTTATTGCCCTTTGTTATTATTCATATTTCATTTTTGTCCTGGCCATTTCTCCTAAACTACATTGTTCACAAGACGACACATCCGACTCGCGGAGTTCTAGTTCTATATTTGGGCTGGTGTGACCTAGTTTAAGATCCCAGGTAACCCATATCCATACCTGACCTATAAATCACCAAAACACTGACCAATTTCCAAAATATTAGGATCAAAACAGTAGCATCTAGATTGTCAACAAGGTTTTTTCAAATATGATCTGTGTGACCTAGTTTTTAACCCCAGGTAACCCATATTCAAACTTGACCTAGAAATAATAAAAAAAACTGTCTGACTTATTTCCAGGATATTTGGATCAAAACAGTAGCCACTAGAGAGTTAACAAAATTTTTCCATATTTGGACTGTGTTTGTTTGTTTGTTTGATTGGGTTTTACGTCACACCAACACAGTATAGGTCATTTGGCGTCGTTCCAGCTTTACTGGTAGAGGAAGTCCTCAGGTGCCCTTCCGTGAATTATTTCAGGCACGAACGGGCACCTGAGTAGAACCACCGACGTTCCATAAGCTAGCTGGATAGCTTCCTCACATGAAAGAATCCAAAGTCCCTGGATCAATACGTACAGTAGCCTCTAGAGTGTTAAGATTTTTCCATGTTTGGGCTGTGTGACCTATTTTTTGACCCAAGTGACCCATATTCAAACTTGACCTCGAAAACATCAAAACAACCTTTCCGACCAATGGAACTCATCCAAACAATTACTTAGACAAGTTTCCTGACCAAGTTTGAGGACAACTGAGTCAAAAATGTGACCACTAGAGTGTTAACAAGGTTTTTCCATATTTGGGTGGTGTAACCTAGTTTTTGACTCCAGTTGACCCATATTTGAACTCGACCTAAAAAACAAACTTTCAGACCAATGTCCAGGATATTTGGATCAAAATTGTAGCCACTAGTGTTAACAAGGTTTTTTTCTGTTTTTAGCTCCTATGTCCTAGTTTTTGACCTGAGATGACCAATATTCGAACTTGACTTAGAAGTCATCAAAACAACCTTCCTGACAAATTTCCAGAATATTTGGATCAAAACTAGCCACTAGAGTGTTAACAAGATTTTTCTATTTCTAGCTCTTTTGACCTATTTTTTGATCCTAGATGACCCATATTCGAACTTGGCCAGTATTCCCAGGTGCATAGCTTCACAGTGATGTTGATTGTTCCCTGCGGTCTGGAGACCGCAGGGTATTGGTACGCGTTTAACTTTTGAGGCATGGAGGAGCACGTGACCTGTTTTCGGTACATGGAGGAGCATGTGATCTGTAAACCGTACATGATTGGTTAATTGACCTTTTCGAAAACCTGGCTAAATACCGTTTGCCGGTACGTTACGGATTTACCTCTAGGGAATTAGTCAGAGTGACACCTAATTAAAAACAACAAACTATTACGTGATATTTCTAATTTTCTATAATTATTTTACCGTTTAAGGTAAAAAAACTTGAATGATGTGTTTGAAAATTATCAATGTTTAATATGTATCTCAAATTTTACAAACAATAAATTGTTTATACTGAACAGTGAACAAATTGTTTATACTGAACAGTGAACATATACAAAATTAAAATATTCGTAGTGGCATCTGCCAGAATAAATAGAGATATTTTCTGCATAAAGTTGTGTGTTTACTTTTTTTGCTAGGAATTTTTCATAAAATGATAGGCCTATTTAATCATTTTCTTAAAAAGAAATAATTGTTTTATGTTCGACCTTCTCCGGTCATTAACGTCACCAGTTTCCAAAGACCTTCTTTTATATTGATCGATTATTGTCAACTATATTCCTGATGAAACCGTTTATTTATTCCCCCCAAACAATGTCGAAAATAGTTAAATGAAATATCTTTATATCATTAAAAATGTTCCCAGCAGGAAACCATTTTACTTGTTATTCCTGTAAAGTTGGTTGATTCTAACTCAAGCACTCAAAGAACAAATAACACAACATAATGGAACGGTTTTCACTAAGTCAAGGGCAATGAATCTGACAAAACAGAATAAATCCACAAGCGAAACCCCAGGTGCACAACTACACATGCTGAGCAACATTCCTGTAAAGTTTCATGACTCTAGGTCAAATACTTTTTGAGATATGTGTGACACAAGTTAAAAATCGTAAATTTTTACGAAGTCAAGGGCAATAACTCTAAAAATACTAAACATATCCACATGAAAATACCCAGGTGGACAACTACACATGCTGATCAACATTCCTGTAAAGTTTCATGACTCTTGGTCAAATACTTTTGAGCTACATGTGACACAAGTTGAAAATTGCAAATATTTACTAAGTCAAGGGCAATAACTCTGACAAAACAGAAAAAATCCACAAGCAAAACCCCAGGTGAATAACTTCACATGCTGAGCAACATTCCTGAAAGTTTCATGACTCTAGGTCAAATACTTTTTTAAGATATGTGCGACACAAGATTTTTACTAAGTCAAGGGCAATAACTCTAAAAATACTAAATATATCCAAACAAAATACCCAGGTGCACAACTACACATGCTGATCAACATTCCTGTTAGGTTTCATGACTCTAGGTCAAATACTTTCTTAATTACGTGCGATAAAAGTTGATAATTGTAAAAATTTTCTAAGTCAAGGGCAATAACTCTAAATTTGATGGTCACCAGTCTTCTTCTATTGATCATTTTTTGTCAACTATATTCTCGATACAAATCTTTTTGTTGTTGTATTTTCTTAATCAATTTTGAGATGAGTTAAATAAAATATCTTTAAATCATTAATTAGAAATATGTTCATAGGACACAGGTGCCCCACTAAGGCCCCCCTGGTTACAGGTTTAAACATATTAGTTTTGATTTTCATTAGTAAATGTTTACGATATTTTTACTGTTTAAACAAAATGACCATAATCTTTATTGTCTTACAAAATATCTTAATCATTGCCTGTAATCATGAATTCTATCAATTCCAATTGATATATTCTAAAGTAACAAGAGGGCCCTGGATTGCTCACCTGAGAAATATGTCAAAAGGTCAAAGTGGAGCCCCTTTTCATCCCAGAAGCACAATTTGAAAATAAGGGACAGCTTAATCTGAACAATTTTTGTACACTGTCACCAAAAAAATTTATTCGTAAAATTATTTCAAACTGAACCAGTGGTTTAGATATTGTTTAAATGTTGTTGTTTTCTAATTTTAGCTCTGGCAGCCATTTTATTAAACAGATCAGCCTGTCACTAAATAAAAAGATGACAGAAAAAGAGAAGGAAAACAAGCATTTGACCTGGCTCAGGGACTGAACTGTCAACCTCGATCCCCTGGGGCGGGCCAATTTTGACCCTAGAACTTTTATTTGACATCCACTAGAAGATGTTTCATGCCAAATATCTTATCTATAGTGCTTTTGGATTGTCAAAAGAAGATGTTTTAAATATATACATATAAGGAAAATCAATGAGCCCCTGGGGCGGGGTCGATTTTGACCCTAGGCGTTTCATTTGAACAAACTTGGTAGACATCCACTAGAAAATGTTTCATTCAAAATATCTAAGCTCTACCTCTTTTGGATTTTAAAAAGAAGATTTTTTAAGTTTTTAGTATATACATATAAGGAAAATCAATGACCCCTGGGGTGGGGCAAATTTTGACCCTAGGGCAAATATTTGAACAAACTTCTACTAGAAGATGTTTCATGCCAAATATCAAATCTATATAAGTGCTTTTGGATTGTCACAAGACGATTTTTTAAGTTTTAATCATAATATACATAAGGAAAATCAATGACCCCCTGGGGCGAGGTCAATTTTGACCCTAGGTATTTTATTTAAACAAACATGGTAGACATCCTGTAGAAGATGTTTCATGCCAAATATCTAAGCTCTACCTCTTTTGGATTTTCAGAAGAAGATTTTTTACTATCTCATATAAGGAAAATCAATGACCCCCCTGGGGCGGGGCCAATTTTGACCCTAGGGCTTTTATTTGAACAAACTTGGTAGACATCTACTAGAAAATGTTTCATGCCAAATATCTAAGCTCTAGCTCTTTCGGTTTTTAGTATATCTACCATATTGCATCTGTATTGAAGCAAAGTTTCATAGCAGTTTAAACTTGTAACAGCAGCTTTTTTTAATGAAAACGGCCGTTTTTCACAATATGCTCATGAAGGAAAGGGTTAATTAAACAAGAGGGCCATGATGGCCCTGAAATCCCTCAAATGTATATAGGCGGGGCCAATTTTAACCCAGGGGCTTTTATTTGAACAAACTTGGTAGACACCCATTTAAAGATGTTTCATGATAAATATCTAAGCTCTAGCTCTAAGAAGATTTTTTAAGGTTTTACTATACACATATAGGGAAAAACAATGACCCCACCCCTCTGGGTGGGGCCAATTTTGTCCCCAGGGCTTTTATTTGAACAAACTTGGTAGACACTCACTAGAAGATAATTCATCCTTAATATCTAAACTCTAGCTCTTTGGGTTTTTAACAGAAGATTTTTTTAGTTTTTACTATATACATATAAGGAAAATCAATGATCCCCGGGGCGGGGCCAATTTTATCTCCAGAGCCCTTCTTTTAACAAAAATGGTAAACACCCATTATAAAATGTTTCATGCTAAATATCTTAGCTCTAGCTCTAAAGGTTTTTTAAAAGAAGATTTTTTAAGTTTTTACAATATACATAAAGAGAAAAACAATGACCCCCTGGGGCGGGGCCAATTTTGACCCCAGGGCTTTTATTTGAACAAACTCGGTAGACACCCACTAGAATATGTGTCATGCCTAATAGCTAAGCCCTAGCTATTTTGGTTTTTTAAAAGAAGATTTTTTAAGTTTTTACTATATACAAATAATTATGAAAATCAATGACCAGCCCCCCAATTTTGACCCCAGGGCATTTATTTGAACAAACTTGGTAGACACTGACTAGATGATGTTTTATGCTAAATATCGAAGCTCTAGCTCTTTCCGTTTTCTAAAAGAAGATATTTCAAGTTTTTTCTTTCGGTTGCCATGGCAACCAGAGTTCAGCTTGGAATTAAATTCTTTGAACAATTTTTAAGTTGACTTCCAAAGAAAGGAGCATTCCTATGATGTTTGGATGAAATTAGCTTGGCGGTTTATGAGGAGATGTTGTTTAAAGTAAAAGGTTACGGATGGACAGATGCCGGACAAAAAGCGATCACAAAAGCTCACAATGTCACTTTGTGACAGGTGAGCTAAAAAAAAATTGCCACAAAACAACAATTTTTCACCAAAATTAGGTGAAAGGCCATGTGTTGACATTGAAAATATAGATTTTGGGTAATTTCAAGGTTTTTCATCATTTTTTGTTAACCCTTTACCTCATATGGACGTGTTTTGACGGTTTTTCGCCTCCTCCCTTTTAGAGGCCTCAAACAGTGAAAAAATGTCCTATTTAGGCCCCAAACACTGTTTTTCATTTGAAAAATGTTGATAAAAAAGTGATAACTTTTTCGGTGCCGACCCCTATCCAAAAGGTACATCAAGGGGTTGCCAGAAGGGGGATGTGCCCACTTCTGTTTCGGGGGTTTGAAGGGGGGCAACAGCCACTCATCGCCAAGAAAATTTTGGACATGTGACAGGCTAAAAATGACCTCAGGTCTATCGTAAGGTAACATGTAACCAACGCTGTTTTTACTCTGTCTCAATCCATTTGGAAATTGCAGCACTTTGAAATCAGTTTTTATGAAAAAAACAAAACAATGCAAACTAGTGATTTTGGCAATTTTGAGACGTCCCCCAGTTTCCATGGTAACAGGAAATTTTAGATTGAGCATGCTGTTACAGAGGCTATGGTCCAGTCAACATTTGTGCCAAGTTTTATCAGTATTTGAAGCCATTTTTCACAATATGCTCATGAAAGAAAGGGTTACCGTAAAAGTTTAAGGACGGACACCAGAGGAAAATTGATCACAAAAGCTCAACATGTCACTTTGTGACAGGTGAGCTAAAAATCCACACACCCAGGAACACAACTACACATGCTGACCAATATTCCTGTAAACTTTCATGACTCTAGGTCAAATACTTTTTGAGCTACGTGTGACACAAAAGAGAACGGATGGAGGGAGGGATGGACAAGAGTAAATTGTGTTTTCCAGCTCCAATTTTTTGGGGGTCATTTTGGGGATCTCTTAAAATTTTAGAGGGTCATGCCAAGCCATTTATTTTATTAACCAAGAAATACATAGGAGAACTGAAACCCACTATTTTATCAGCCTCTTCCCAATAATTCATTAAGCTATTGAACAAAAAAAGATAGAAAAGAAAATGTTGCATAAAAATAATTCGAAGAATCTCTTTAAACAGCAAAAAATTCTTTAATTAATTTAATTACCCCCACTAAGCTTCTTTACAAGCCACAATTAAACTGAATATTACAACTTCACTTTTAATCATCTTGTCAATTGTTTACACAGTTGCATCATCCTTTCCATATTTGGTAGTGTACACTATGTCACTAGCTGTACTGTATACAGGTATAATGTGTAATGATTGAAAGAGGGTTGTGTATACGAGATTGTTTTGAAAATTGTATAATTAATTGATAGAAAAGTGGACAATAATTGGATATAATTATATTGTCCTCTTGGGGTGCATGAAAGGGAATTTTTGTCTGATTAACAGACAATTGAAAGGTATTATTTAGTCGTAAAAATCAAAGCAGTGCATGATTTTTATTTGAATTGTAAAACAGTTTCTGTTTGCTGTGGAATCGAAATTGTCATCATATGAGATTTACTGTAAATTGATGGAGAATAAATACCTCTATCACAGGAAACGCACTAACAGAATGTCATTGCATCAAGGCTAGAAAAAATGCGTAAAAAATTGCAAAAACGCTCTCTGGAAGAAACACTGGTAAATCAAAATTTTCCCCAGCAGGAAACCATTTTAACTTGTTTAACCCATTACTTCATGAGCATTTTGTGAAAAATGGCTGTTTTCATTGAAAAGTCTCCCGTTACAAGTTCAAATTGCTATAATACTATAAAAACTGCTTCAACACTAATCAAACTTGGCACAAATGTTGACTGAACCATTGCCCTTGCAACAACATGCTCAGGCTTAAATTTTCTGTTACCATGGCAACGAGAGGACATCTCAAAACTGCCAAAAATCACTATTTTGCGTTGATTTTTTCCATCAAAATTGATTTCAAAGTGCTGCAACTTCTCAATGGATTGAGATAGAGTCAAATGCTTTTCAGCGTCGGTTACACATTACTTTATGATCAATCTGGGGTCATTTATAGCCTCTCACAAGTCCAAAATTTTCTTGGCGATGAGGCAGACTCCGCCTCTCTTCAAACCCCCCAAACAGAAGGGGGCACATCCCCCTTCTGGCAAACCCCTGATGTATCTTTTGGTTGGGGGGCTACGCCGAAAAAGTGGTCACTTTTTTTAACAACATTTCTCAAACAAAAACAAGTGTTGGGGGCCTAAATAATGCATTTTTTCACCATTTGAGACAACAAAAGGGGGGGGGGGGTGAAAAAGGCGTTAAAAGGCGTGTATATCGCGTAATGGGTTAATATTACCTGTAAATCTTCATTTGAGAATGTTATAAGTCTTGTTATCTCCCTCCTCAATCCTGAAGCTAACTGTTTAATTCTGTCACTGACCACATTCCCATCTGGCATCATATAATCTATTTCATCTTTACCTTCAACTATTTAAAAGAAAACAAAGTTGCATTTGTGAATAAATGCTATTCTGCTGCATAAATACAATACTAAATAGTAGGAACAGATGTACATTTTTGTTTGTTTTTATACAATTGAACTTTGCCATAATGCAGTTAAGTTTGCCATAATGCAGTAGTGTCTAGAGAACTTGGGGGTCCAGGTCATATTTCAGCATGTCAAATGAAAGACAATGTGCAGATGTGTCTAATGTTCAGATACAAAGACTATAGTGCAATAATTCATTCATTAAATAAAAGTATTCAAAAATTATGGTATTTACTGTATTGCATAGCAGTATCAAACTTTGATATACAGTTTTTTTTTTTTTCAATTTAAGCATTACAATGTGTACCTGAAAACATAAAAAAAAACACTTATGATTTAAAATCATCATTATATATATGGTGTGAATCATAATGCTAAAAGTTATTTCATAAATACCCTTGCAAAGCTAACATTTCACTCACCTGAGGACAGACTGTTATTCGAGTGAAAGTAATGAAAGCTAGTGTTTATTACAAGAATGTGAATGATGTTGGTCACTAGACCATATTTCATACAAAATATATTTTCAATTATAATATATACATTGTCCTAATTTCATAGCTGTGCATCAAAAACAAGAAAGTAGGTCACTAGGTCAATATCTAGGTCATTTGATATCAAATTTCAGTTCTAAACATAAAATTGTACACATCATGTCAAAATATAGCTGTATATAAACAAGAGGGCCATAATAGCCTTGAAATCCCTCACCTGAATATAAAACTCTCCATGACAAGGAAAAGGTATTATATTGTAATAAAATAAAAAGCAGATATAAAATCTAAATCTAAAACTGAATTCACAAAGTTCATATTTGTATCTAAAATAGAGCATGTGTAAAACCATTACTGCAGGTTGCAATTGCTAAGGGAACAACAGTTCCAAAAGATGGGGTGTGGCCAATTTTGACCCTAGGGCATTTATTTGTACAAACTTGGTAGACACGAATAAGAAGATTTTTCATGCTTAATGTCTAACCTCTAGCTCTTTGGATTTTTTAAAAGAAGATTTTTTAAGTTTTTACTATGTACATATTATGAAGGAAAATCAATGACCATGGGGGTGGGTTATTTGAACAAACTTGGTAAACACTCACCTGAAGAAGATGTTTTATGCTTAATATCTAAGCTCTAACTCTTTGGTTTTTTTCAAAGAAGATTTTTAAAGTTTTTACTACAGACATATAAGGAAAATCAATAACCCCCGGGGCGGGGCGAATTTTTATCTCGCTTTATTCCTCTAAAATGATGCTTGCTGTATTATAAATTGGTTATTAATATTTCTGACAGGTTATATGGCCGTATATTTATAACTAATAATATAAACGTCATGATTATCCAATGAAAAATGATGTTACAAACATGCAGTATTATAAGATTTTATATACCAAATATCAAAGCTATAAGCCTTGTACCTTCAGAAAAGAAGATTTTTTTAGCAAGAAATTTTCGTAAGTTCACTCATGAGATAAATTATAACACAGACACACATGCACACACACACACACATGCACACATTAGGGGCAAGCCGTTGTTTCAATGAGCAAGAAACTTTACACTCATTGCTTAATACTGGTTGGTTTCCAGGATCAGATTCTAGAGTGTTTCAGTAAGCCTACCATTTTTTTTAGCTTCCAACGCAAGCAAACTAAAACTAGAAGGGTTTCTGTCACAAAAACATATGTCTCTCAAAACTATGTATGGTCACTCCTGTAAAGTTTGGTTGAAATCCGACCAGTAATTTGACCTGTGAAGGGCAAACAAGCTTAATGAAGATGGATGGACAACCAACGGACGGATGGACAGCGAAGGCAAAAGCAATAATGTCTCCCAAAGATTTTGGGAGACATAATTATCCACATTGATAACCTTAACCCAGTATTTAACTAGAAGGGTTTTTGTCACAAAAACATATGTCTCCCAAAACAATGTATGGTCACTCATGTGAAGTTCATTGAAATCCCACCAGTAGCTTGACCTGTGGAAGCCAAACAAGATTGTTCCTTTTATAGCTCTGACGGCCATTTTGTGCAGCAAAGCGGTACATGCTGTGATATGCAAAACTACAAGCATGGTACTGAACTCCTGTGAATTTTGAGGGAAAATCAAGCCAGCAGTTTGACCTTTGATAGCCAGACAGGATTTTTCTATTCTTAGCCATTTTTGTGCAGCGAAGCGGAACATGCCAGCAATATGCACAACTAGGGATGGTACTGTGTACTCCTGTGAAGTTTCAAAGAAATCTAACCAGCTGTTCTTTCTGTGAAAGCTGGACAAGATATTTCTATTTATAGCTCTGGCGGCCATTTAGTGCAGCAAAGCAGAACATACTAGCGCTATGCACAACAAAGGCTGGTACTTTTCACTCCTGTGAAGTTTCAAAGAATTCTAACCAGCAGTTCTATCTGTGTAAGCCAGACAAGATATTACTATTTATTATATTTCTTGCGGCCATTTTGTGCAGCGAAGTGGAACGTGCTGGCGATATGCACAACTAAGGATAGTACTGATCACTCCAGTGAAGTTAAATGGTGGAAATCCCAACAGTAGTTTGACCTGTGAAAGCCGAACAAGATTTCTCTATTTTTAGCTCTGGAAGGCATTTTGTGCAGCAAAGGACATGTTGGCGATATGCACAACTACAGATGGTACTGATCACTCCTGTGAAGTTTGGTTGAAATCCCACAAGTAGCTTGACCTGTGAAGGCCGGACAAGATTTCTCTATTTTTAGGTCTGACGGCCATTTTGTGCATTGAAGCAAAACGTGCCAGTAATATGCACAACTAGGGATGGTACTAGGATGGGAGACATAATTATATGAACAAAACCAAATACATATAAAAGGATCATAAACGACCTAATTCTGCATATATAGCTGCATTACTTGTCGATTGTTTTTCACCAAGAATTGTTCTGCAAAACTGGAGATGAATGCGTTCCAATTCAATTGATTTAGAAAACCCTCAAATAGGACAACCATAATTCAATATTGATAAAACGAATGCATCAAAAAGTTGCAGAGAAATATCTGGACGTATGTTACATCTTTTGATATCATTTTAACAATGGGTGCATCATCCTGAGTGCTTTGCCGTTAAGATATTTTACATTTAAAATGAAAGTACCAGTGTAATTCAATGTTATTCCCTAATAATTGAAGTCATCCATAATTTCCAACCGTTCATCATTATAAATGAAATGTTCATTTTTTTTTCCGGCCCTCATATTCAAAAAAGAACAACTTTGGTTTTAGCAGTGTTTACCTTTAACCCATATTTGTTACAATATTTGCTTAAATAATTCAGTCTTGATTGCAAATCTTATACGATATCACCACATATTACCATTCATCCGTGAATCACAGAATTACAAGACAAACTTCAGTAATGGTTAGACCAGTTGCATTAACTTTTAAAGATTTCTTCTAGGCAATGCTAAAAGCCAAACATAAAGGCACATTGATTACCCACAACAAGATTGCATTTGTGAAAAAATGCTATGCCACTGTATTAACATAACACTAAATAGAAGAGAAGTAGATTGGTTTTTTGTTTCAACACAATAATGCAGTAGTGTTTAGTGAATTTAGGGGTCAAGGTAATATTTCACTATAACAGACAATGTGTAGATCTGATGCTTCTAATGTTCACATACAAAGGCCATAGTATAATAATTGATTTAAAATGAAATTATTCTTACTTCATAAAAATTTAGTACTGTATTATACAAGTGTATTAAACTGTGAAAAAACAGTTACAGTTAATTTTCTTATATGCTATATTTTCAAATAAGCATAATTTCTGAAGATGGCCCTAGATCGCTCACCTGACCCATGGAACTCATCCGAGCAATTACTTAGACAAGCATTCTGACCAAGTTTGATGACAACTGAGTCGAAAATGTGACGACTAGAGTATTAACAGGGTTTTTCCATATAAGTTCTTGACCCAAGGTGACCCATATTTGAACTTGGCCTAGAAATCATCAAAACAAACTTGCAAACAAATTTCCAGGATATTTGGATGACAACAGTAGCCACTAGAGAGTAAACAAGATTTTTCTATTTTTAGCTCCTGTGACCTAGTTTTTCATCCTAGATGACCCATGTTCAACTCATTTGAGCAATTAACTAGACAAGCACTCTTTACAAGTGTGATGACAATTGAGTCAAAAAATGTGACCACTAGAGTCAACAGTTAACAAACAAATATGGATGGACGACGGACATTCAACGATCATAAAAGCTCACCCTGAGCTAGCTCAGGTGAACTAATAAAAACATTTACGCTTTAAAATCACCATTAGAAACCATGTGCATGCTGCGTCTTATAGATATGCATTCATCTATTCAGCAATGGGGAAAATTTTAGTCTTACTTTTGAGATTTATTTTGTTTTAATAAAATCACACTGTTTCAAATTTTCTAAAACAAATAGCTTTTCTGATGTACAACATGTCACTGAGGTCTAAGGAATTAAAATAAACGTACAACTGAAGTGATAGTGCCATGTTTGAATATCATATTCTTTTTATCATTATCTAATTTTATTTACCTAATCAATAGCATGTCAATGAGCCAGTCTGTATTCTAATGACGGGAAACAAAATTGGACAGGGAACAAGGGTATGACAAAAATACTCAATATTACTTGTTATCCAATTCATTTTGTTTCGACCAGACCTTTCAATCTTTGACGCAAAAGACAAACAATTCAGAATTTCAGACATGGCATTACTTTGTGAATTTATGCATTAGGTTTTTCATAAAAATATGCAACTTAATTATTAAACTAAGAACATGAAAAAAACAAGAGCACCGCTAGGCGGAGCAATATATGCCAGAAAGTCTTTTTTTTCCCACAAAAATGCAAATTTTTACTAAATCAAGGGGAATAACTCTACAAATACTACATTCACATTAAAATACCCAGGTGCACAACTATACATGCTGATCAACATTCCTGTAAAGTTTCATGACCTAAAATAGGTCAAATACTTTTTGAGCCATGAGCAACACAAAGTGAAAATAGCAAATTTTTACTTAGTAAAGGGCTATAACTCTGACAAAACAGAATAAATCCGCAAGCAAAACCCTAGGTGCACAGCATCACATTCTGACCAACATTCCTGTAAGGTTTCATGACTCTTGGTCAAATACTTTTTGAGTTACGTGCAACACAAGTTGAAAATTGGAAATTTTTACTAAGTCAAGGGCAATAACTCTAAAAATACTAATTTATCCACACAAAATACACAGGTGAACAACTACACAAGCTGATCAACATTCCTGTAAGGTTTCATGACTCTAGGTCAATTATTTTTGAGTTATTTCGTGCGACACAAGTTGAAAATTGGAAATTTTTACTAAGTCAAGGGCAATAACTCTAAAAATACTAAATATATCAAAAAGTTATGGACAACATATAACCTTGACCTTAGGGTAGCAACCTGGATGTTGAACTCTGTAGATTGTGTCATGGTGATGATCATTTGTGCCAAGTAATTTTAAAACCTTTGAATTGTCAATAAGTTATAGAGTGGACATGAAAACAAGAACTGTTGGAGGACAGTAACGCTCGACTATTCAAAAAGTCGTCACAAGTGTGTTTTATTGAGTATAAAAATGCTTACCTATATGAATACATAACAATTGTCTGAAAAGGTACAAAGGCTTGTAAACATGTTATTAAGATGTTTTATAAAGTTAATCACTGCTTTATTATTATGAATGCATAAAATTGTTCCAAAAAAGGCACAAACCCTTCAGTAGTTATGGAGATAACAGCTTACAAGCAAAAACTTTACAAGCCAAAAAAGGTCCATAATTATGCAAAAACAACAAATCAGAGTTATGGGACTTGTGCCAATCATGTTAGATAATGATAGAGAACAAGTGTGTGAAGTTTAAATCCATTCCCTTTAGTAGTTATGCTGATACCAGCTTACACACAAAAACTTAACCAAGAACTTCTAAGTCGAAAAAGGGGCATAATTATGCAAAAAAGCAAATCAGAGTTACGGGACTTGTGCCAATCATGTTTGATAATCACAGAGAACACGTGTGTGAAGTTTTAATCCTTTCCCTTCAGTAGTTATGGAGATACCAGCTTGCACGCAAAAACTTAACCAAGAATTTCTAAGTCGAAAAAGGGGCATAATTATGCAAAAAAGCAAATTAGAATTACGGGACTTATGCCAATCATGTTTGATAATCACAGAGAACAAGTGTGTGAAGTTTCAGTCCATTCCCTTCAGTAGTTATGGAGATACCAGCTTGCATGCAAAAACTTAACCAAGAATTTCTTAGTCGAAAAAGGGGCATAATTATGCAAAAAAGCAAATCAGAGTTATGGGACTTGTGCCAATCATGTTTGATAATCACAGATAACACATTTGTGAAGTTTTAATCCTTTCCTTTCAGTAGTTATGGAGATACCAGCTTGCACGCAAAAACTTAAAATTAGAATTATGGGACACACACACACAGGTAAATCGCAATATGCCAATGCATCGCAGATGCTGGGGTTGTAATAAAGAGATATGCTTTCCACATAAGGCAAGTGACTGGCCCTAGGGCAAATCCATTTTGACTGAAGTGTCATGATTAATATAGATATCTCAGCTCTGGGTTTTGTAGTTTCACACAACAAAACTGAACTGTTTTCCAATATAAGTTCATATAAATCAAGTGACCCTTGGCAAGCCAATATTGACCCAGGGCCATGATTAAATATCAGTTTCACAGAAGGTTCACAAGGTAAAGCTACAATTGCTAAATATCTCAGCTCTAAGAAATTTGTTACAAGTGTCACAAAATAAGACCGAAATGACTGTCTTCTTATACAAGACTACATGTATATCAACTAAGTGACCCAAGGGTGGAACGGGACCAATATTTACCCAGAGGGGATGGATTATATCAGTTTTGCATAGGCCAACAAGGCAATGTCCCATGTCAAATTAATTGTTACTAAGTTTCACCAAAATAAGACTTAAATGAGTTTTCCAATACAAAGCAATATAAACTAAGTGGCCCCCTTTGCAAGGCCAATATTGTCCCAAGGGGCATGGTTAATACCAGTTATTTTGTGGTCAACAAAGACATGTTACATACCAAATAATTATCTTAGTTATAGGGGTCATAGTTTCACACAATAAGTCTCAAATGTGGGCCAATTTTTATCTCAGGAAGCCCAAATCTGTGTTTTGCACATTGTCTCATTATAAGTAATATTTCTGCCAAATTTTTTTAATTTCTTTCTATTGGTTCAAAAGATTCAGGGCAGACACTTTTGAAAATGAAACAAAAAGTTGACCTGATCATTGGCAAACCTACATTCTGCACATCTTCTCATTATAGTTATAGACCAGTTTCATAATAAAACTCATATGACCTCCAGATGTTGGGCAAATTTAACACTAGGACTATAATTTGAACAATCTTGAAAGAGGTCCATGAGACAATGTTTTATGCCAAATATCAAAGCTCTAGCAATTGTAGATTTGGAGACGATTTTTAAATATATGGAGACCCCATCCCCCCCCCCCCAGTGGAAATTTTAACCCCAGGGCTATAATTTGAACAATTTTGATAAAGGTATAGTTGACAATCTTGAAAAAGTCAACAGACTTGGGCTATAATTTGAACAATATTGGTAGAGGTTCACTAGATAGTGTCTCATGCCAAATATCTTAGCTTTGCCCTTGTAGTTTTGAAGAAGATTTTCTTAATTTTAACTATATACAATTGTTACAATCATAGGGAAAACACATGACCCCGAGGCATAGGTAAGTTTAAACCCAGGGCTATAGTTAGAACAATCCTGGTAGAGGTTCACAAGACAATGTCTTGTGCCTTGTGGTTCGAGAGAAGTAGACTTTTTAAGTTCCTTCCTATTATTCATTTTGGTTGCCATGCATGGCAACCAGATTTCTTATTTAATCATGGAATCAAATCTTTGAACAACTTTGGAAGCCCTTCAGCCACAGAACAAACCTGGAAAACTAGTTGAAATTGGATTTAAAGTTGTTTTTTTTAAGTTCACAATATAACACGCACATGCCCCCCCCCCCCCCCCCCCACACACACACACAGGTGCCACCATGCCGCAGATAAAAATTCATTTTAAGTTTGATATAGTTTTAAGTAAGTTACTTTTCACAGTATTAATCAATAACCTACTAAACAACAGTATTCTACTATGATGAAACATAAATTGAGTTTAGAAAGTTTTTTGACATAATAATTAAAATATACCTTCACATTTATCCTTCCAACATTCCCCCGGTTGAAGCAGCATTAGAGTGGTGTTAAACGGAAGAAACTGGAAGTACTCTTCCTCATCAACTTCTGTGCCATCCCCTTCAAACACAATCTTTACTTTCTTACTGCCCTCTACATCAAGCTTTTCCTTACCTATCAACAATTATCATAACGTAAGTCTGTTTTTCAAATACTTGTACAGAAAACTCCGCTTATAACGAACTCATTGGGACATTCAAAATCTGTTCCTAATATATGCGGAGTTCCTTGTAAGCATATAGCGAATTAGTTCCTTGCATAAGGAACAGTTTTACATTTTACATATAATGAACTGACTGTTTACAATCGTCCGCCACTTTGAAGAGCATTTCATTATGAACAAGCAATTATCATAGTATTGCAAGCAATCCATAAGTCCCCTACCGGTTAGAACCCCATCAACATTCTGAAGGGCCATTGGCCATTCACTAATGTTTCAATTTTTCTCTATTTTAAGGACGTTTTCGGGAGTTTTCATATAGACATATAGGCAAAATTAAGACTGTTCAATAGAATTTCTTTAAACTTGGCATGTTGTTAGAATATGATAATAGAAACATTTTAAGCGGAAAAAAATTTGGGGTCACCGTTCTCGTTTTTGTGTTATCTGCCCCTAAATCAGAATTTTCTACTTATTTGAGGTCATTCAAGGGCAGATAACTTATACATACTTAAATGAATTCTTGTTTTTACTTCTAAATTATGTTTTTCTTTTTACTGTTGAGTATGATACATAATAACATGCAATTCCTTACATCATTTCTGTTAATTTTTTTCATGAAAATAAAGATACTTTAAATTTAAAAAAAATAGGCCATTTTTTTAAAGAAAAAAATGCACAGGTTAAAAGAAGAAATTTTGCATATCGACTAAAACGAAGGTAAGCTTCATGAAAATAAGAAAAAAAATTGTATTGTTTCCTTTCATTGTAAATTATCTGCCCTTGAATTTAAAGAAAAAGTCCAATTCAAGGGCAGATAACTCGAAAATGAGAACGGTGACCCCATTTTTTTTTTCGTTTAAAATGTTTGTGTTATCATATTCTAACAACATGCCAAGTTTAAAGAAATTCTATTAAACAGTTTTTATTTTGCCTATATGTCTATATGAAAACTCCGGAAAACATCCTTAAGTAAATTTGTTGGAAAAGTTCTTTAAAAGTGATCACAGGAAACAGTTTTTATGAACAGACAGACAGATGGACTGAAGGACACTCTTAAGTTAATATTTGAACATCACCGTTACCAAAATATAACATTTTTAAAAGCAAAATTCTTAAAAAGGAGATAACTCTTGAATTAAAGATGCAATTTCATAAAAATTTTCAGCTCTTTTTGACTGATCACAAATATTGTTATATTTGCCATGTTTTAGCCTATTTGTTGCCAAGGCAACAAATATTTTTTCAAAATAGGATCACAAACACCTGGCTAGCAATTTCAAGCTGCCTCTTAATATATAAGTACCTACACACCAAGTTTGGTGGCAATAGGCCAAAGCAAACTCAAGTTATTGAGCAGAAACCAAAAGTTGACCCCTGACCGCCCGCCCGCCCGCCTGTCGACTTCGGCATTACAATAACCCGGTTTTCGTTGAAAACCTGGTTAACAAGAGCTGTCACAGGAGATAGCAAAGCTCGTCATATAAAATACTGGACGCAGTAAGGAAGACAAAACTATGAAAGAAAAATCAATTATGTATAATCATGTTTTAAGTTATAGTAAAAAAATAACAATGTTAACATAAATTCCAAGATCAAGGGGAATTATTCTAGAAATAGTCTCGCTAGAGTTATAAACCTTGTCACACAACATGTGTGTAATGATAACAAATATATATTTGAAGTTTGAAGTAGATACCTTAAAAAGTAAAGAAGTTACAATATTTCGTAAAGAAAATCCTAAGTTCAAAGAGAGATAAATCTGTAAATATTGCTTCAAGAGTTATGAACATTGTCACATAAAATGAAACTGATGATAAGGAATAAGTATTTGAAGTTTGAGGTAGATACCTTGAAACTAAAAAATTCATAATAAAAAATAACATTTTTCTAGTAAAAGTTTATGGGGAGATAATTCTTGCGATATTGGTGCTTGAGTTATGAACCTTGTCGCATAAGATGTGGATGATGATAAGGTACATATATTTGAAGTATGAAATTGATCCCTTAAGAAATAAAGAAGTAGGGTAAATCCCGGTAAATACGGACAGATTTTGAATGACATTCTTTAGAAGCTTTCTGATAGGCAGAAGAGTAACGTTATCTGTTATTCGTTGATGTTACTATTTGTAAATACATATTCCTCGGTCATTTTCATTTGAACCAATACGTTTCTGGACCAAAACGTTGCGGTATTAATATTTTTTATGCTCCGAGTAGAAATTGGTAAATAAGGACACGGTACTGAAAATGCGGACAGGTGGTACGTAAAATACGGACATAGTACTTAGCCATAGGGAAAATACGGACACATTGGTCGTTTTTAAAAAAAAATAGGAAATAGAAATAAGAACACATCAACATTTATTCACGAGATATATAATTTCATTGACAATAAAAAAAATTGTTAGAACATAAAAATTGTGTGCATTTACTAAAGTATTATTTACTCAAATATTAACATCTATAGTATAAAGTCCCATTAATTTGTCCGTTAAATACAACTATTACTATAGGCAAAGTAATTCATATATGCCTGTTAGACTTAAATATCAAATACACAAATAATTTAATTATTTGTACAAAAACACTCGCAGGGTAAAAGTTTAAACATGTGTACTACAAGAGTATGGTTATAAAATAATAAAACAACCTCTTTGGAAGATTTTTTTCATTATCAATCTGTTTATGATTCATCCAGGATTAAACTGTATGGAAATGTCAGTTATTTTTCAGTTTTTGTATTTTTTTTTCAGAGCACGGCCCCTTTTTGCCTTTTTATTTTCTTTTTGACATTTTTTCTCTATCAATGCCCGTTTCTGCTCCAAAACCTCTATGCTGGTAAGCAATTTATGACTTGTCGGCTTAGAGCGACGCCTTTCTACAGACTCTGAACGTTTTTCAATTTGTGGTGGTAGAAAAAGTGCATCGATGCTGCTGTTAACAGAAATTTCCTCTTCCTCAGGAATAATATCCATGACAATGGCATCGCCGGTAGCAAGTAGACTCATTAACTGACCAGGTTCACTTATATCTAAAATTGGAGCAAGTGAGCTGTCAGAAGAAGACAGATTGTCACCATCGAATGAGACACTTGTAAAAGGCATTGTGACTTCTTCGAGGGATTCATTGATCGGAGCCGGCATACTCACTTCCTCTATGGAAATATTGCCTAGTGCTAAAACAGGCTCTGGTGGAGGGACAACTGGTACATAAGATATATTTTCCGAAACTATAACAGACTTAAGCGAACTAACAACTTGTTTAACGGGCATATTTTGTGATGCTAATACAGGCTCGGGCGGACTTACAACGTCTTCAGAGGAGACATTTGCTGAAGCTGAAACAGGTCGAGTGACGGGTTGATCAGTAAGCTTACTTGGACAGAAAGCCCTTGTTGGCACTGCGCGTCTATTGAGAGGTACAATACCACAGGCTCTAAAACCATTTTGTACATTCGTTGATGACACAGCTTTCTCCCAAGCAAGTGAGAATAGAGCAGGAAATGTCCATTTGTCAACTACATGTAGAACATTTTCCTGCAAAAAAGAAGAACATGCATCATTGTATGCCTTTTTCAACGGCCCAAAGACTGTGCGGTCTAAGGGTTGGAGAAAATGTGTACAATGGGGTGGTAAACTCAGGAGGACAATATTCTCTTCAATAGCCCGCTCTATTATAGCCAAACTCTCATGCGACCCATGGCCATCCATTATGAGAAGCTGCGGGCGATCAGGACCACAGTGTTTCAGAAAAACTGTGTCAAACCACTCTTCAGCAATGTCATCTGTTATCCATCCATTCTGTTGAAACGTCCATACAGAATTATCAGGCGCTCCAAGGGTATTGAATCCGAGTAAAGACCGTTTGGTTTTACCTTTGGTAATAAACATGGGAGGCATGCGATCACCTGCACCGTTAACGCAAGCCATCAACGTAATATTTGATGACTTGTTACTGGTCCTGCTCACAACTGATTTCTCTCCTTTTTCAGCGTAAATCTTGACTGGATTATGCTCCATATTAAAGCCGGATTCATCGCAATTCCAGATGTATTGCGACTTATCCAGCAGATTATTTGCAGCAACAACTGACTCTAGTGTATCAAAGTACTTTCCAAGCACTTCTGGATTTAACATGCGTGCCCTTACAGAAGACAATTTTTCGGGCTTTCTCAAAACAAGGTCCGGGAATCGGCGCTTTAAACCTTCGAACCATGCTTTTCCAGCTTTGAAATCATTATAACTGGACTTAATCTTAAGCCGGTCGCACAACACATGTGTTCTTCTCAAGATTTGTTTACGGCTAAGGCCAACTCTAAGTTTAGCAGCTGCCTTTATGCTACCTACAATTTTTGCTTCTACAGTAGCAGGTAATGCTGGTGGTCTGCCATGAATTGTGTTCAGACCATGCTTTCCGGACTTGCGGTCACCGATGGTTGACCTCGGCACATTAAACTGTTTTGCCGCATTTCGTACCGACATCCCGGCTTCAACAGCTCGAACGGCGTTTTCTAGGGACGTTTGTTCATATTTCATAGTTTTCCCCCTATTTTTATAAGTATACTTTTTAGGCATCCTGAAAAAGAAGGAATGGTTGGGATGATGAAATAATATAATTATAGTTATAATGAAAATTGTCAAAGAGTGAAGAGCAAAGGAAAATAAATATGTCCTTTTGACAGACCAAGATATAAGTGGTTTGATTAAGATATGTTTGAATAATAGGTAAATTAGAAACAGATTAAAATGGTATAAATTTAGCATGATGAAGTCGCCTTGAGGAAGTGGCCTTGTAATTATAGCCCATATTAAGGATCAGGTTTGAAATTCAGCGCGTGTGCAATGATTATAAGATAGATTAAGAGTAGTTGTTTATTGTTATAAAACATTGTCAGTTCTATGCATTGAAAATTGAGAAAATGCCTTTATTTTTTTTATTTGAATCTCGTAAT